AATGATATCACAGTCATCACTTAAGCAGACATCTGGAAGACATCCTTGACACCACCTTCACTTCTACCTTAATGTCAGTCCATCAGCAAGCTCATCAAATATCGCTTCAAATACCTTCAAATATCGCTTTAAGTCATCCACTTCTATTCCCTTTTAATAGTCACCCTAGTGTAAGCCACTTGTCTCCTGGAAAGGCTCCGCAGCTTCCTCAGTGGTCTCCCTGCTGTTACTTGACTCCCCAAAGTCCACATTCTTCACATGGAAGCAAGAGAGATCTTTGAAAATTATAGATTGATCAGGTCATAAAAAAAGCTCCCAACCAAAAGAAAAGTCTATGCCCAGATGGGTTTACTGGTGAATTTTACCAAACTTTCAGAGAAGAGCTGACTCAAACTACAATTCTACTCAAAACTATTCCAGAATATAGAAAAGGATGGAAATTTTACAAGTACATTTTATGAAGCAAACATAATTCTCATACCAAAACCAGGGAAGGACATCATGAAAAAAGAAAATTATAGAAATTCTCAGCAAAATCCTGACCAATAGAATTCAAAAACATATTAAGAAAATGATAAATCATGACCAAATGGGATTCATACCAGGGATGAAAGGATGGTTCAATATTAGAAAAATAATCGATGTAATCTGCCTTTATAAATAAGGGAAAAGAACCACATGATCATACTGATTGATGCAGACAAGGCATTTGACAAAATCCAACATCTATTCCTGATAAAAACACTCAACAAAGTAGGAATTGAAAGGAAATTCCTCAAAGAAAAAAAACAAAAAACTTTCCACAACTGGACCAATAAGCAACATCATGATAAACAGAATAAAGACTGAAGTTATCAAGGATTTCACTTTACTTGAATCTACAGTCAATGTGCAAATATGCTGCAAAAGATTTCTTAAGAGTGTTATCAAACAAAGATGTCACTTTGAAGACTAAGGTGCACTTGACCCAAATCATGGTATTTTCAATCACCTCTTTGGAAAGTTGGACAATGAATAAGAAAGACCAAAGAATTGGTGTCTTTGAATTATGGTATTGGCAAAGAATAGTAAATATACCATGGGTTGCCTGAAGAACCAGCAAATTTGTCTTGAAAGAAGTACATACAGAATACTCCTCAGGAATGAAGACGGTGAAACTTTATCTCACATCATTTGGACATATCATCAGAAGGAACCAGTCTCTGGAGGATGACATCATGTTCAATAAAATAAAGGGTCAGTGAAAAAGAGGAAGACCGTCAGCCAGATGGATTGATACAGTGGCTGCAATAATGGCCTCAAACATAGGAACAATTGTGAAGAAGGTGCAGGATTGGACAGAGTTTTCTTCTGTTGTATATGTAGTTATGAGCTGAAACTGACTCAGTGGCACCTAACAACAAGTGAATAAAATATGCGGCAAAAAAAAAGTAGAAGGAAAAGTATCATGGAGCCATGTCATGCAGTTTATTAATTAAAATGTTATGTTATGGTTCTAGAGTTTATGATGATGTGATATCTGTACATCCCTGAGTGGCATCAACAGTTTGTGCTCACTAGTAACCAAAAGGTTCAAACCCACTCGATAGCACCGTGGAAGGCCTAGTCATCAGCTTCCAGCCAAAATTACTGTCAGGAAAACCTCTGGAGCTCAGTTTTACTCGATTACACTAGCGTCGTCATGAGTTAGAATGGCCTTAACAATGGGTTTGGGTTCCCTACATGTTGGTGATATTTGTCAAGTGTTCAAAGTTTGTAAATCGTTGCTGTCCTTAGATGCCATTGAGTTGATTCTGAACCATAGCAACCTGTATGTGCAGAATAGAACTGCCCCAGAGGGTTTTCCTGTTGGGGAGCTGTAGGATTAGCACTGGACTGAGACCCACAAGTTTGGCAGTTCAAATCCACCAGTTGCTCCTTGGAAATCCTATGTGGGGTCACTGTGAGTTGAAACCAATTCTATGGCACTTAACAACAACAAGTAAATGCTGGAGTCCTAGTGTGATGCTGTAGGATAAGCACTGGACCCCAAGGTCGGTTTGAACCTCTAGGCCAGTGATTCAAACTCACCAGTCTCTCCTCAGAAACCCTATACAAGGTCACTATGAGTCTGAACTGACTCAATGGTGCTTAACAACAACAATGAGTTTTCAAGGTTGAGACCTTTTGGAAGCAGATCAGACCTGTCTTCCAATAGGTTTGAACTGACAATCTTTGAGCTAGTAATCAAGTGCTTACTTGATCTGTGACACCCAGATATACTCATATAAGCACTGGACTACTGCCATCCAGCCTAATTCTGTATTTATGACTTGTATTCTTTTTCTTAAAGAGCGCTCTCAATTACATAAGCTTAAGTCCTTACAAACCTGGATCTGCCTTGCCCAACCCTCTCCCCCTTGAACCCTGTGTTCCAAACATATTGGATGACTCTCTATGGCCATTGCTTCAGAAAGTAGACTAGAACATTGTTGTTAAGTGTCATCGAGTCAGTTCTGACTCCTAGTGGCCCTGTATAGGGTTTTCAAGGAGCGGCTGGTGAGTTTGAACCGCCAACCTTGCAGTTAGCAGTCCAGCCTTATCCTGTGGTGCCACAGCAGGACTCCAAGCACATAGTAGAATGAGAAAAATATTTGCAAATAACTGAATGAATGTCTCAGAAACCAGAATGCTCAGGTGTTAATTACATGAAAACATGAATGTTGTCTAAATTGTTGCCACATTCCCAGCATCCAGAACAGTTTCTGGCACTCAGTAGGTATGCAGTAAGTATTAATTGGTTAACAAATCCAAGCTTGTTTGACTGCAGAGAATGCCTCTTTCTATTGTCCTCAGTTGTCCCCACTTTACAAAACACTCTCCTAAAGCCCTCCCCACAGCTCTGGGAGATACAATTTTTATTTTAGAGTTCTGGTGAAATGGAAAATCAGAGAAGTGAATTGCCCAATGTCACTTTGTCAGTGGCAAATCTGGGATTCAAACTCAGATATCTGGGGCCAAAAAGTTTTCTACTCATTGTTGTAAAAACAGTTTCAACCCATAGTTACCCTGTATACGGTTTTGGAGGAGTGGCTTGTGACTGAACCACCGAGTTTGTGATTCAAATCCACCTTCAGATTCAAACCCACCTTGTGGTCAAGTGCTTATCCTACAGCGCCACACCAGGACATATCTTTGGTGATGGCACTTAACAACAGCCACCAACAAGAGCTGGTGGGGGCGGGGGTTCCTGGAAGAATTGCTCTGTGTGGACACCAGGTGGCACCCCTGTACACACTAGTTACTCTTGTCTATGGTGCCACTAGGCAAGGAATGTAAAAAGCATTTGTCAGAAGCCAAACTTCGAGACTCACTTTCACTTGCTCTCTAACCCTCTGCTTTGTCCCTTGACCATTGTACTTTGTTGTTGTTGTTGTTGTTAGGTTCCATCAAGTCAATACGGACTCATAGTAAACCAATGCACAACAGAACGAAACACTGCCCGATCCTGGGCCAACCTCACTATTGTTGCCACGCTTGAGTCCATTGACGCTGCCACTTGGCCAATCCATCTCACTGGGGGTCTTCCTCTTTTTCTCTGACCCTCCACCTTACCAAACATGATATACTTCTCCAGTGACTGGTCCCTCCTGACAATATGTCTGAAGTATAAGAGACAAAGTTTGGCCATCCTGGCCTCCAAGGAGCACTCTGGCTGC